TTGGTGTTCTTGGGTGGGTGTTGATAAAATCTGCAGAAGGGGTAGGTGACTTTTCAGCTCTGTGGTGCATGGTGACAACTGCTCCACTTTCTGTTTGGACCTGCAATGTTGGCTGCTCAATGTTTCCACCCAATACCTGGGTGGAAAAATCCACTTAGCAGCAAGGATGGTTTAACACCTGATGCCAATAGCAGTGGATCTCAAGTGTGTTCTGTTTAAAGATTAGCTATAGGGGCTGGAGTGGTGAGGCTGAGAGTGGCATTTATCCTGGGAAAGCTGAAGATATTCCCTGAACTCCATGGTAAAGCAGAAAGATACTACTACAATGAATTTAAGTTTGACATGTCTCTTAACTGCAGCATTTTTGGCTACCAGTGCTCTGGGATGATAGACACATCCATCAGCTCAGCAAATAGCTAAAGTGTGTGCCAGGCTCTGTGGCTGGAAGAATCAAGCAGAGATTCAGTTTAAACATGTGATGATGTGACTTAGTGACACAGAACTGTAGTTTATTCAAGAGTTTTAGGTAAAATTCTTCTGCAATTAGTTTATTTCCTGCCTCTGGGCATATATTAGATATTTTCCCTTCTCACTACTGTGGGGACAGTGCCAGCATATTTAAAAGACAATTGAGAGCACTCTGGGATATTTAAAGATTGCCAGAACTTGTCTGGGTAATGTGTTGGGCTGCTGTGTGAGAACTCTGATGTGCTATGTGTCTACTCTGGTGAAATTGAGGTATTTTTTATTATGTGATGATTTTAAAACTCTCAACACGTGGGGCCAAATCATGTTGTGCAGTCACTGATTTCTAATTTAACTCAGCATTTTGATGCCAGTGTTCCTGTATGAGTTCCCATGGCTGAAGGCTGGCTAGTGAACATAAGTTATCTTGGATATTTATAGTGTGCCTATTCTTGTAGGGCCTTTCTGGCTGTCCTTATTGAGCAAGGAAGGATGGGGAAAGGCTCTAAAACACAGTTTCAGTCACCAGGAACTTTTGAGGTCAGTTGCAGTTTATGGAATCTGGAGCAGTCACTGAATTACTCGTCCTCAGTTCTCCCCACTGTATCTGCAACATGGACTAATACATTCTGTACAGAGGGCACAGGTCTGAGATCTCACAGATATCGAGTAGTAGGAATAAATTTATTGCTACTCAATATTTTCACTTATTTTGCTGATTGAGGAATGAACCAGGTACTGTATTCATGGCTTTTATGGAGAGGAAAGGTAACAGAGAAAATGTTACCATTGCACACTCATTTGAGTTAAATGTCAAGAGTAGGCAGTTCTGAGCTTTATTTTTCTGTTTATTTCCCCTTGGAGAAACAAAGCCTGCAGGCAGGACATTCTGGGCCTTCCCTGCCTTTCTCTGAAGGTTAATGGTCACCTTATCTTTAGCCTTGTGTTTGCAGGCACTGGAGTCAGACAGCCTTTTCCCCAGGGCTGTGCTTCCTGCTTTCCTGTGTTATTGCTGAGATGGTATCAGAGATGACCTTCGCTTCTGAAGTCTCATTGCAGTTGCAGCTGGAATCCAGGATGTGGATGGTTTTAGGAATATTATTCCAGATGTGTGAGTCCCTGGTTCTCCTCTTGCTCATACCTGTACAAACAAATCAGAAGCGAGTCTGTGAGGAGGTGGGCCCACATTAGTGTTAGACTAATATACATGGGAAGTCATTAAGCCTGATTGCTCTCACAGCACAGGCATTAGTGGCAGCTCTGGTCTGATCTGTCTCCAAGGGAAATTGGCCAGAGTGTCTGAAGGACATTAACTGGATCTATCCCTAGAGGGGAATTTGGGAAGAATGGTGTGTAGAAAACTCAATTCATTATTCACATCTCCTCAGGATATTTGTTTAGCCTCAGTAACTGTTACCTCTGCTGTTCACACTCAGAGCAGGCACTGCTCCATGTGCCTGTGGCTACACACTGTGTTCTCACATTTCCTTCCAGATGGTCTCGTGTGTTGGTGCCTGCCTGGACACCGAGAAGGAAAAGTTGTGTTGTTAGAACTTAATATTCTCTAACATGGTATTTTCTTAAGTCAGAATGTGCAGAAATAGAGCTCCTTTGTTCAACTTCTGCACCAACCCCACCAGGACAAAAGAACCACAGTTTCCCAGTATATAAAATATTGACCATGCTAGTATTTTCACAGGAAATACCAACTCTTCCACTGTGTCAAAAATAATCTGTTTTTCATTCAGATTATTTAAAATCTTAGATTTTAGATTTATGGCCCTGGATAAAAAAAGCAGAGATGTGAGAGGTCTGGTCTGTGTATACAGGGACGCTGTTACTTATCTAAAAATAAATTGCATATTTATATGCAAATAAATGCTTGTAGATTGTAAAATGTCAAACAGTTCTATCTCTGGATCTGTATTATTTATTAGACAATTGGTATTTTCTGTCACTGAAGCCTGAGGTTACATCTGTGATCCTGTTGCAAATCAAGGGGAAATTACCTTTTTAATGACACATGGCCTGACCTTCATCTCCAGTTAATCCAGGAAGAGTTCACATTTGGCTGGGGGGACATAAAGGATGGATTTAGAGTGTCAGTATTTTTCTGGCCGTATTTTAGAATTCAGTAATCACTGGATACCCCATACCAAAGTTTTTCTTCACTTCTTCCTCAGGGGAGAAGACTGTGTTTGTGATAAACTGCAAGAAAAAATGAATTACCAAAATTACCAAACACTGGAATCAAAGAGATTATATTATTGCCATGGTCTTTGAAATATTTTTATTATTGAGGGAGATTGCAGGAAGTCCTTCTAACAGGGAATGGCAACAACAAAAATCCCCCAAATCCCACGTGATATACAAAATGTGAAAACACACATAATTAGAGCAGAATAGAGTAATTAGACTCCAGAGCAAGTATCATGGCAAATTCTTCTGGCATGAAGAATTTCTTCATACATATATAAATAAATGCATGAATAAAAAGCTGAAATAGTGCATGTTTAGATACCTCTGACTACACTCTCTACATTCAGTTTCAGAGATAGGCTTTGACCCTCATTTTCCTCATAATATTAATCACAGATGGATGTACAAACTCTGCATGGCAGAAATCCTCTTATCTCCACCTCTTTGTTGTCTGCAGACTCCTGTGTTTGTAACCCTGCTTGTTTAAAGCTCTGATAGTGCAGCTTTTAGCAGTGAGATGTGTTTAGTTGTTTCTCTAGAACTGGAGAGTTTTCACAGAAAATTTCCAAGCCTGGCCAATTTGCCAGCCTGTAAATTTCACTTGTAGGAAAGCTGAATCCTTTTCTTTAGCCAAGTGTTTCTTGAGAGCCCCATTTGTGTTGGCACACTGTTGCAAGGTGTTGCTAGGGGTACAAATGGAACGTGCTTGTAAGGAACACGCAGAATCTTCATGCCATAAAATTCAAGTGGCTCAAGGATCAGTATTTGATGGCTCACCCTATCACAATGTGACATTTACCTTGCTAAGAAGTCAGTTCAGAGACATCAAAATATACTGGAAATCTGAAATGCTACAGTCCATCACTTTGGTGTAGGAGTTTTACTCCTACCTCGAAATTTTAGTGAAATGCTCAAATGAAACTTTTGTCCCTTTCTGAAAATAAATTTTAAAAAGTGTAAACCAAACCTCCTGCTTAAACACAGTTTGTGAGACGTGTGATTTCCTATCTTTGTGTCATCTGGTCCCTTGCTGCTGCTGTGTGCCCTGCAGCCATGCAAGCTTTGGATGAGCAAAATGTGGAGTGTTTGCAGACAGGGAGCTGGGAAGGGTTTGCCCTTGGAGATCAGTGGCAAGAGGCTGCAAGAAGCACAGCAGCTCTGCTGGACATGGAACACGTTCAGGATTGCTGGTTGTGTGTGTAGCTCCTTGTACCTCAGCTCTCAGGCTGTTGGCACGTACCCTGGGTATTTGTAATATTTGTGTATTTGTCTGTTTGAGTTTCCTCCATTGCATTAGTAGTTGCTGTTGGTTACTTAAGTTGAAGAGGCCTTTGTGCAATGACTCAAGTGTCAGTGCATGTGAAACAAATAGCTTGATGATTTTAGGAGCTGTGTTTTGGTGCAAGGATTTCTCAATGGTTGACTGGCTGGACCTTGCTCAGTCTTGCCTCCCTTGTTCCCTTTGGATAAATTAAGAAACAGGTTGGGAAGTTTACCAGGTGCTGGGAACTGTGGGAGGGCAGGTTGCCCTGGGACTGCTTGTTCTCCCTGCAGGGGAAGCAAGGCTGATCTGGATGTGCAGTGATTTGGATGTCCAGTGATCTCAATGTGCAGTGATGTGGATGTGCAGTGATGTGGATGTGCAGAGATTTGGACATACAGTAATCTGGATGTGCTGTGATTTGGATGTGCAGTGATTTGGATGTGCAGGGGGCTGGTGCAATATTGGGCTATTGAGGGAAAGCCATGACAGTGCGTTTGAAGAAAGCCAGATTTTCAAATGAAAGTAGGCCTAGACTGGGCTATTTCAATCAAGCCAAGCCACAAACTTTAGAGGAAATCCAGATCTGATTGAAATTCCATGTGTTTAAACTTGCTGTCTTCCCTATCTTTGAAGAACCATCTTTACTCTGCTGAAGTCTGTGGTTATTTGGTGCTTGTCTGCCTCCCAGCTGAAAACAGCTTCAATTAATTAATTGGCAGTAGAGCAGCCCCTTCACTTCAGCACTTGACAAGTGAGGAGCAAATGTCAGAGCAGTGATGTCTGGCTGTCAGAGCAGGTACAGCCCATACCTGCTGGCTTGCACTGATTTGCCTGTGGACACAGAGCTGTGATGTTTATCAATATCTAAGATTTCAGGGCTGTACCCACAACACTCAGTGTGTAGCTATTTGAAGCTGTACTGGTGATAAAGAGGCAGAGGAGTGAATAATAAATCTAGCATGGTGTGCCTTGGAGGGTGATATGAAGATAGAGAATCAAAAAGTATTAAATCCTGAGGTGGGATAATTATTTTTAATGACTGTTTACTACTCTGTGCTTCTTGGAAAGTAAGGGGGTTTTGAGATGGTGCAAATTGTGTTGCTAGCTGCTGGTTGCTGAGAACAGGATGATGTTTGACCTAAGTGGAAGCCAACAGATGAAGTTTTGCATGTTCAGGTAAGTAACTTCAAGACAAAAATGCATGGAAGAAAAGAACAATATTGAAAGGAAGCATATTCTGAAGGCAAGCCATCTGAGGAGGTTTGGATACAGGAAATCTGCTTTATGTTAGCAAAAATGCTGATTTTTTTAAGCTTCCAGGCTGTGTTCTATGCCAGTTAAAGTGATGAAATTCTTCCAAAGTCATCAGGCTTACACCCTTCCAGTAGCTTTAGGGACTGTGCCTTCCCACTGGAAGGCCATTTGATCTTTCTTGATTTTAAAAATAAATGTGAATTTCTCATGAGGTCTCCTTCATTTCTTACCGTAGTATAAATGTTTCTGTTGGCAGCATTTTTCTGAAGAAAAGGCCAAGCAGATTTCAGATGCAATCCTACATCCAAGGTTTTGTGCATTAAGCCAGTCAGAATGTTTCTCCAGTAATCTCCAGGAATTCCTTCCTGGTGGTGGTTGCCCAATAACTGAGGCCTTGATTTTGCATTTTTTTCCCTATGGGCTTTGTCAGATGGATGGAGATTAATGCTCTCTAGTGATCTTTTTTTCTGCTGGGATTAAGATTTCAGCGTGAAGCCATCGTGACAAGTGCGGTAATTCCCAGCAGTGAAACTTGTTCCAGTCAAACTTCCACTAGTGCCACTGTATTTTTGCTGCTTTGTCTTTTCCCAAGAGACAGAAAATGTGTTATATCTGCTTGAGCTCAGCTTTGATCTGCAAATGCACTCTGTGGATGGCATTGAAGTTGGCTGCTTGTAGAGGCTTTTGCTTTCCAGCTAAGTGGGAAACCAGACTGGAGTGTGATTTGTTTCCTGTTTGTGATGGCCCTTGCACTTGTTGTCATCTGATATTTGCGTGACAGCTTTCCTTTGTGTAGGGGCCTTTATAGAATATTGAGAAATGGAGTTGTCCATTCACAGATGTCAAACTTTTGCACTGTTAGAAAACTGCTAAAGCTGAGCCACTTGTGGGGCTCCTCACCAGAGGTCCATTTCCCAAACTACATGTGTCTCTCATGAGAAAGGTATTTAAATAAAGCATTTTTTCCAAGTGTTCAAAAAGGACTTCTCCACTGTAAATGTGGTATTTCTACTAAATGTCTTTAAGAAACTCATATAAAAATACTTAATAAAACTCCCTCCTACTGGCTTGCCAGACCCAAGTATTCAAACACTATGTACCAGCTGAGAAATACAAATAAATGTGGTTTTCTTCTGATCTTCTAGGAATGACTGTAAATCTTTGCTTTAGTATTATGAGAGTTATGAACCTCCTACTTTGAAATATCCATGCAATTTTTAATTAGGAGCTGATATTCTTAGCAGGCCATGTGACTGCAGGAGCAGGCTCAGGCTGTGGCACTGGCTGCTGCTGCTCCCTCCCTGTGTGCAGGCAGCACCAGCAATGTCTTGGCTTTTCTCTGCTTTTACCTCAACAGAGGCCATTGATAGCCAAGCTGCAAATTCATTTCCATATGAATTTAATGCAGTGTAATGGCAGAAATGTGTACAGCTACATTGTCCCCAGGACTTGGGTCACCCCTGTGAAAGAGGCTCCTTGAGGTTTGTGTTCCCCAGCATTTACCTGTCTCCACACCCAGTGAGTGCCTCCTTAGCTGTGACAGTGAGTAACAACTGTTGGTAAATTGGCAGAGGTCATCACCAGGCAGTAATTCTGCCACATGGGTGTGCTGGCTAATTTAAACTCTAGGGCTTTTCGCCTGACCTTGCAATATTGCAGGGATGCAGTTGTTTGAGTTATTTTCCTGTTAATGTGCAGAATAGCTTGTTAGAATAGATTGTGATTTACAGTGAATTGGGATAATGCCTGTTCTGAGAGATCCTGTGCACCTTTTGTGCTGGAGAACAACTACAGCTTTTAGTCATTATTTCAAAGATGTTGCAAGTATTTTCTGTAGCTTTCCTCTGTCTAAAAAATAACAATAACAATTAATCTCCTCAGGGCTTCTTCACATCCTAATTATAACCGAGCCTCTCATTAGTCCCACGGGGAGACGGAATCAAACGCCATATGGCATTTCACACTTTGGATGCTGTGCGTACCAATGGCTGGAAGGAGACAGGAAAAGGGGGAGTTAACAATTCATATCCATTTATGGAGCAGGCACAGCCCTCCTTGGAGCCGGTTCAGCAGAGCCCGAGTGCCTCACACCAGGAACTTTATCTGGCCAGGGGTTGCCGGGGCGCGAGTGGGGAGCGCTGCACGGGATCCCCCTGGCATCCCCACGCTGGGGTGAATCAATGCACACACGCCTCCCTGGGAGCACCATGGCTGGCTTCTACGGCTGCCTGAAAAGTAAAAAGTAAGTGCCATGCTGAGCCCTCCCCTTCCCAAAGGGAGCTGAGATAGTGGGTACTCTGAAATTCTGTCTTTGTTGTGTTGCAGCTGCAGCGTTGAACAAAGTGGGTTTGCCTTGGGTCTGAAGTGCCAGCCTGAGCACAGAAGTGCAAAAAATAAGTCCTGGCTAAAATATTCATTTGGTGAAAATTGGTCATTTTTTTCTCCTTCACATGTGTAAACATGAAATATTGGAAAAGGTACTAAGAACCTTTTCCTGTTTAATTATAGCAAGAGGGAAAATTCCCTCTTCCCTACTGATTAGCTGTGTTGTTTCTGTATTAACACATAAAAAGGAGAAATACAGAAATTCACATTGGCTTTTAAAAAATGTTCAGCTACAAGTCTGGCAGTAAATGCTCTTTAAGAACTTGAGGAGCTCAGTTTTTCTATAAGCAATCTGAGGTTCGTTTCTGTAATTGCTCCCTGTTGAGAGATTTGTTGTATTTAAAAAAAAATAATTATATTTTTAGTGCTTCGCTGGCATGTTCTGTTGGAGTAGGCTCAAGGGAAAAGAGAATGAGAGAATGCATGTTAGTATTTGTGCTGTAAACCACCATGAAGATGCATTCTGTTTTTCCTTTTACATTCTCCCTGCTGAGGAATGGAACAAAATTTGCTGCTGCCAAACCTGAGGAGTGGTTTGATCGTGTTTTGCACCAGCAGACTGCAGAGGGCTCTATTCTTGCAGCTGGTGGGAGATTACAGACCAGGCACAGTGGAGGGCAAGTGAAATTGTGTCTTGAGGCTTAAGATGTGAATACTGATAGTTAAATGTGTAAGTCCTGGAGAGCAGAGGGAGGAAAATAGTTCAAAAGTGGAGCTGGCAGCTGACTCCTTTCCTCTCCCAAAGGCTGGATCCCTCACACCAGCAGTTTGTCTCACATTACTCTGGTGGAAATGTGCATTTTCAAGGGCACACAACTCCTACTGGATTTCTGTTAGCTTTTCCATCCTGCACTGAATCCTTTCCTCCTTTGAAATTTGTAACAGGAAATTAGTATTTGGCAGAGAAGTTTGCTTTAGATAAAGGCAGATGTGCCATCAGAACTAGCAAAAGGGCTCTGAGTGGGTCCTGAAGAAGGGAGGTGGATTGGCACTTGAATTGACAAAAAGTAATACATTTGCATTGTTTGATTTTTCTCCCCCAATCCTTCAGAATCATATGCACTTAAAACCAATTTGTAATTCAGAGAGTGGCTATAAAGGCTGGACAGATGAAGCTTTTTTACATGTGGTAAACCATCTTTTCTTTCCTGGTCAATCTCCACCTGACTTTTGAGGAACAGGATTTTTTTTTTTTTTTATTCAACAGATTCTTCTTTCTTGATATTCTTCAGTTAAGTCTCTACACTTGATATAATGCACAGGTTATATTCCTCAGCCTGTTATTTCAGCCCTCTGATGTGTTCCTAGGTGAATTAATTTAACTACTAACTCTTTGCAGTCTTCACAAATTTTATATGCTGATTTGGCTGTGGTTATTGGCAGTTAAAATGAGTTCAAGACACCAGCTGCAGAAATAGTGATGGTTTTAGCCTGAGATTAATTTTCAATGAAATTTGTTTGGAGTTTAACATGAAGTATTTGTCTTTCTGGACAAATGTGTCATTGGAACAACTTCTCCAAATTCTCACGTGGTCATTTGACCTGTAGGAGTTAATTTGCTTTCTAAATGAAAGCTCTTTTGGAATGAAATTACTTTTACACTTTAAGAATTGGTTTGGATACCAGTAGGAATTTGGCCAAAGGGACTTAGAGCTCAGTACCTGCCAAGAAACCTGCCATGGACTTTGGGGAAAGGTTTCATGGGGAAAGGTTCCCTCCAGGGCTTTGAGCTGCTGAGTCCAGCTAAAGCACCTGGAGTGTTTTAAAAGCTGCTTTAGGGAGTGCTCTCCTGTGCTGCTGCCACATTTACCCCACTGCCCCACATCTTACAAGAGAAAGCAAAGGCTCTGCCTTGGTGCACTGTAATAATGTGTGGCTGAATCTGCTTTTCTACACAGTCTTGTCCCTGTGCTTTGTTAATGTCCTCTTATGAAATTAAATAAAAAGAACCCAAAGCCTAATCCAGGTAATTCTTCATCATAGTCCCAATCTTGACTGCTATTTCACTGAAATGAAACTTCTAGCCTGCTTTCATATTTCTCTTTAACCAGCATATGCAACCTGAGTAATCTTGAATTGTTCTCCTAAGTTTATCATCACCCTTGTTGCAGAGTTCTGTTTTTTTCTTGCTCCAAGCATGGTGCCAGGAAAAAAAATATTAAACCTGAACAAATATGATAAATCTTCCTAAAGCCTGTGGAAGAATCTTTTCATATGCTCCTCAGTTTTTGGGACTAGCCAAGTATGTTGTTATGAGCTGAAAATGTGGTTGCTTGAATAATAAGGTTCACTGATGGTCAATGCAAACTGCCAATTTCCAAAGACAAATATAGTGTGTTAGAGGCTATATAAAATATTTGGCTGAAGGCTTTATGTGCCAGCTCAGTCTGGTTTCTATAGCAGACTATAAGAAAATGTATTTAACTGCATTTAATGTGGTCACTCAGGATTTCATGGTGCCTTTCACAAACAATCCCAGAATTATGGACATTTCAGCTTGAGTGTCTTCTGCTTTGCCAAGCTTTGCACTTTCAGTGGGATACTATGTTCTTTTCTTATATTCCATAATTGTCAAAAAATGCTGATGTGCACTTTTATCCTGCAAAGAAGTTCAGCATTTGGGTAAAGCAAGTTGATCAAGGAATGCATCAGTAGAATTTTCAATATATTTCTAGATTGTTTGTGATGAAAGCAATTGCTAATCTAAAATGATGTTATGACCATGAAATTGAGTAAAATATGTTTTCTGGGTTAGGTGCTGTTGGCTGTATTTTGTGTTGTTGCCTGTTCAGATGAGTGTCAGGAGGAGGTTGTTGTGATTGCTGGGCTTATTCTGAAGATGGTACAAAGCTGTCCACCTGCTGGATTGTCTGTCTGTTCACTGCCCCTGCACCTGCACCCAGCCTTCTTCTTGAAGAGGCTCAGAGGGGACGGTGGAAATCCCAAAAATCCCTTTGTCCTCCTTGTGGCCAGTTACACTTTTTACAACTTTTCCATGTTTGCGTGGTCCCTGGAGCCTTTGGCTCCCCATCCACAGCCAGCAGCTGCTGTTTTAGCTGGGACAGTGACAAGTGGATTGGAAGTGGTTTAAAGCTCCAGCAACTGCTACTGGAGTAGCAACTTGGCACGGGGGCCGGGCAGGTCGAGCCTGTTGGCTCTGCTCTGTCAGCAGCTCGTTGGCCTCCCTGGCCTCCCTCCCTTTCTGAGGCTGTGATTGCTGCGGGGGCTGAGGAGCAGCGCTGCTGCGTGCTGCTGCTGACTGCAGAGGGTGATGCTCTGTGTGACTGACTGCATGGAGTGATGCTCTGGGGCTGACTGATTGCAGGGACTGATGCTCTGGGGCTGCTGACTGCAGGCAGTGATGCTTTGCTCTTTGGCATGGTGTTCGACATGAAGCATCTGTCCAAGATTCCAGGGCTGTTTAAAGTGAGACACTGAGTTCCCTGGCCAGCCCTGCCTGTGGCATCCCCCAGCATTATCTTGGCTCAGCTGTGGTCCATGGGCTCAGCTGGCTGAAGGCTGGGCAGCTTTGGAATCAGTGCAGGCTCCCTGGGAGCTGTGGCAGAGTCACTGCCCCTGTGATGATCTGGGATCTCTGTGTGGCTGATGAACTCAGGAGAGGTGAAATGCTTCCCATAAACACTTTGGTATTCTGAAATATGTCTGTTTACTTGTCCTTTTATTGTACATCACTTTAGCATATTATTTCACAAGAGAAAGAATCACTCATTAACAGCTTTTCAGTGTTGGGGGACTTTGAGATGAAAATATCTGGGTATGATATCTGCCCAGCAAAGCAAGTTCACCTGTGCAGAGACAAACCCTGGATGAGTTTCAAGAAATGGGTTTTATGGAAGGTGAGGGATCTCCCCACTAAGGTAAATCAGAGAGTGTGAGCTGAGGCAGAAAGACTCCTCAGGGGTTGTGAGTCTCTTGGAGGAATCTTTCAGTACACAGCCTAGGAGTGTGTTCCTGTATTAGGCAATTATACAGTGTTTGGATACTTGTGAGCATTTTGTCTTCAGCCCACAGGAGTCATTCAGTGCCTGGTATTAAGTGTACAGAGACTTAAGTCCTGTTTTGTTATTCAAAAATAGCAGAGAGGGTGAACAAAAGCAGTTAAGAGGTGTCAGAGCCATGGCACTGCAGGCAGTTGGGCACTGTTGGTACAATGGTGCTATATTATTAACAAAAAATCAACTACTTCTCTTTGTGATTCATTCTGTTTGACTCATCTTGGTGCAAGAAGTTCAATTCTGGCTTAATACACCAGTGAGTCACTCCCATCCTCATTCTGTTCGTGCTTCTCTCTGGATGGTGTTTGTTTTTGCAGCCACAGTGGTACAGTCTGTTTGCTGGCTGTAGGCAGAGGAATTCCAAGCAGGCCTGTTTATTTGGTTTCAGTAGAACAGCCCTTTTGCTATCACCAAGGTTCTGAGTATTTGGCAGATATGCTGTCAAATTGACCTTCACTGCTGCTTGTCCTACATCACTTGCAGAGGAGCAGAAGCTTGGGCTGGGACAATCTGCTAAATGTGATTGTCACTCTTCTGCATCCTTTGACCATCAGGTTTTCTGTGTACATGATTTTGATTTTGCCACACTGAGCCATGAAAACATCTTGTCATAATTTTCCCTTGTGTTCTCTTAGACAGAAACTTCTGCTGTTCCAAGTGTCTGGCTTTGTACCCCTAGAGCCAATTGGAGAGATTAATTTGTCATTTCCTTCTTGTGCAGATGTCGACAAAGTTTTAGGCTTTCACATCTGCTGTGATGTGAAGGCCTAGAATTGGATGTAAAAACTGAAATCTGATTATATATGAGACAAAAATGCAGTGGGTTCAGGCTGTGCTTCCA